CCAGTCCAGTCTGTGCTGAAACACTACTGTCAATCAAACTATCGTGGGAGGGGCCTGTCTGTGTGACGTCACACAGACAGGCATCTGAGATCGGCTCGATTTGAGAAAGGAGAAAACATTTAACCAGATAAAAAAAAACACTGGGTGGATTTTTATCATTATAGGGTGGTTGTGTACACACACTGCCAACACACATTTCAGTTCAAACACCTTGTAAAAGTGCATGTAGCATCCGATGACCCTTTTAAATAGCATGAAACTGTATGTTAATACCGCAATCATTATTTACAATGTTGCAATTATTTTGCTTCTCAGTTTCTGATAAGAATGATGCTTTGACACGGAGTGACCGAACAGCATCATGCAAGGCTCACCATGCCATCAGTGAAGTACTTGCAGCTCATTTTGATGAATTTGACGGTGGCCGGACTCTCGTCTTCAGACAGGGGTGACGTCTCTCTACACACGGGCCGTCTGGACCGGCTGCTCGATTCACAGTCCTGTCAGACGGAGACATCAGAGATCCATTAGTGCTGCCCGACACGCATTCATTACTCATAACGCTTATTATGACTGCATTAGTCAACAATACAGCAGAATGAATATAGAAATCAGGTCTGTGAGCAGATGAAAAGATGATGATTATAAAAAACAATTACACTTGCCAAAATAGGACTATTTTGCATGTGAACATTAACTGACATCAGGAAAATTGTTAGAATTTATTGAACAATTTATTAAACATTATTGAGATATTTAAATCTTAAGAAAATAATTTAGGATAATTTACTGAATGTCTAGCGCTGTGTTATTTTAGTATCACTGAAATACTATTATAGTTTTAATCTTTTATTTTTTTTAATGTTTTTATTTTTCCATTTTCATTTAAAAAAATTTAGTGTTTGTCATTTTTATAATTTTTTAAAATTTGTTTGTTTTTATTTTTTTATTTAAGTTTTAGGCATCGTTAATTGAAATAAAGCATAAATAAAACAAGATCAAATCTAAATATTAGATTTAAAAAACGTAATGTAAACTTTTTAAAATTAACTAACCCCCCCCAAAAATAAACTGAAGTTTAAAAACCACAAAAAGCACATCATATAATTAATAAAACTAAAATTTTAATTAAAACTGAAAAAAAAAAATAATAATAAAAAATAATACAAGTTGAGTTAAATGAAAACGAAACGGTGCCTTGTCAAATAACTGAAATAAGAAGTTAAATAAAAAGTTTGTAATAAATATAAAATATGTTTTTATATATATTTTATTTCAGTTAAAGTTTATTTCATTTAAAGTAATTTTTTTGCTTTGTTTTTAGTTTTAGTTAACTATAATAACCCTGGTCTAGCAATATATTACACTAAGTGTGTAATTATGTTTAAACAATAGTTTTATGACAGCTATAGTTTTATTATAGTGTAGCGCATTGCATCATGGGATGTTTGACTCATAAAAGAGTTTAAGCACACAGTGTTTGTCTTCCTTGTGATACTCAAACACTGCTTTGCTTCACAGTTTGTATGGATGTGATTCATGACTGAAGCGTCTTACCTTAGGCTCCTTCTCTGACGACTCTGATGCTGTGAGATGCTCAGAGGAGCCGTCTGATTGGTCCAGATCAGGAACGAACAGTTTCTGTGCAGGATCGAGTAAAACGAGACGTTTAGGCTTCACTGAATCACAGCTCAGAGAGCAGGAGAGAAACTCACCTGTCCAGGTACGACGCTGTGCGAGTAGAGACGGTTCAGCTGCACCAGTTTATTCGGGGTGATGTTGAACTTCAGAGCGATGCTGTTCAGAGTGTCCTTCGGTCCGACCTGACCGGTTAAACACGTCAAATATAAGCACTTTATTGATGAGATGAGCAGTGTTTGTACAGTAAGACCAACTCACGGTGAACTGCACAGTTCCTGGAGGTTTACTTTTCTCTTTCTTGGTCTGGCTGCATGGTTTGCTGTTGTCATCTGAAAGAAGAGATTGAAAACACTCAGTGGGTGAATCACAGTACAGTTATTGCTGTTACTACTTGCTGAGAAAGATACTGAATAAACACTGGTTTAATGACACGGACTCTAATTTTACACACAATCCATCTCTGTCTGATAATACGCGGTTTTCCTGTACGATCACAGTATGTGGAGCTTAGTTTGGGAATATTAAAAAATAAAAATACTGGAGCAGAACAATGATCATAACGAAGTAACGAATAGAAACAGAAAATAAAAAAATGGAAGAAAAAAAAAAATATATATATAAAACAATATAAAAATAATATTTGAAATTATTTTATTTCAGCTAGCTGCCAAGGAAAATAATTCTAATTTTAATTTAGTTTAATGTGATGTACTGAATAACTAAAAATAAAATAAAAATGAACAAAAGCTATATAAACACATTTTTAAAAATTAATTTAAAAAACACAACAAAATTCCTAGAACTTTAACAGGAATGAAAATGAAACCAGAAAACAGACTAAACTAAAAATATTAATAAAAACTATAATACTATCTCAACAGTACTAAAATAACACTGGTGTGGTCCGATTTAAAAGTAATGACTAATGCGGCGGTTCTATTGAATGAATGAATGACTCAAACGGACTCAAACGACTCAAACTGACTCAAACGGCTCAAACGGACTCAAACGACTCAAACTGACTCAAACGGACTCAAACGACTCAAACGGACTCAAACGACTCAACTATATAAACACATTTTTAAAAATTAATTTAAAAAACACAACAAAATTCCTAGAACTTTAACAGGAATGAAAATGAAACCAGAAAACAGACTAAACTAAAAATATTAATAAAAACTATAATACTATCTCAGCAGTACTAAAATAACACTGGTGTGGTCCGATTTAAAAGTAATGACTCTAATGCGGCGGTTCTATTGAATGAATGAATGACTCAAACGGACTCAAACGGACTCAAACGACTCAAACTGACTCAAACGACTCAAACGACTCAAACTGGCTCAAACGACTCAAACTGACTCAAACTGACTCAAACTGACTCAAACTGACTCAAACGGGCTCAAACGGGCTCAAACGGCTCAAACGGGCTCAAACTGACTCAAACGGGCTCAAACGGGCTCAAACGGCTCAAACGGGCTCAAACTGACTCAAACGGGCTCAAACGGGCTCAAACGGCTCAAACGGGCTCAAACTGACTCAAACGGGCTCAAACGGGCTCAAACGGCTCAAACGGGCTCAAACTGACTCAAACGGGCTCAAACGGGCTCAAACGGCTCAAACGGGCTCAAACTGACTCAAACGGGCTCAAACGGGCTCAAACGGCTCAAACGGGCTCAAACTGACTCAAACTGACTCAAACGGGCTCAAACGACTCAAACTGACTCAAACGGGCTCAAACTGACTCAAACTGACTCAAACGGCTCAAACTGACTCAAACGGGCTCAAACGGGCTCAAACGACTCAAACGGGCTCAAACGGGCTCAAACGGGCTCAAACGGGCTCAAACGGACTCAAACGGACTCAAACGGACTCAAACGGGCTCAAACGACTCAAACTGACTCAAACACGGGCTCAAACGGACTCAAACGGGCACAAACGACTCAAACGACTCAAACGACTCAAACGGGCTCAAACGACTCAAACGGGCTCAAACTGACTCAAACGGCTCAAATGGGCTCAAACGGGATCAAACGGGCTCAAACGGGCTCAAACGGACTCAAACGGGCTAAAACGACTCAAACGACTCAAACGACTCAAACGGGCTCAAACGGGCTCAAACTGACTCAAAAGGCTCAAATGGGCTCAAACGGACTCAAACGGGCTCAAACGGGCTCAAACGGGCTCAAACTGACTCAAACTGACTCAAACTGACTCAAACGACTCAAACGACTCAAACGACTCAAACGACTCAAACGACTCAAACGACTCAAACGACTCAAACGAAATCACTCACTGAATCAGTCGGAGTGGACACGCGACTCAAAACAAAAACTGTTAGAGTGTGTTAAACTGTCAAATTTCTTTAGTATTATCTGGTTGTTCTTATCAGTGTTTTTATTGTTAACTAAAATTGAAACATTTAATTGAAATAATCGTTAATTGAAATAAAGCTGAAATAAATATAAATATTAGAAATGAAATTTACTTAAAAATCTTTGAAAAGCTGCCTTGGCTAACTGAAATAAATTGAAGTTGAAATACTACAATGACTAAAATTAAAACTAAAAAATAAATAAAAAAATTATAAAAGCACATAGCAAAATTACTAAAACGAAAATTGCAAACATAAAAATATATTTAAAAAAACAAATAAAAAAACAAAAGTACTTAACAAAATCACTAAAACTTAAAAAGAAAACTGAAATCATAAAAAAGTTCAAACTAAAAAAGCAAAAATACATAAAATTACTAAAACTGAAAATAAAAATATAAAAAAAAAACTAAATAAAAAACCAAAACACAAACTTACTAAAACGAAAACATAAGAAAAACAAAAACAAAATAAAAATGACAAAACAACAACATTAAAACGAATGAAAACGAAAATATAAAAAAAACTAAATAAAAAAAACAAAGCACATAAACCTACTAAAACTAAAATTGAAAACATAAAAAAAAAAACACAATTAAATTTTTTTTTAATTATAATGAAACCCGAAAACCTAAAAATAAAAGCTAATTCAACACATTAATAAATATTATTCTATAAACAGCAGTAAAACAACACTGGTTCCTCAGCTGTTGAACACAGGCTTGTGTACTGAGCCGCTGCTGACGCGGTGTCAAACATTAAGAACAATAGGTTTTATTAACTACATAAACACTTAAACTAGTCTAACATACTACATAAACACATTAAGCCGGTCTAACATACACATACACACACACACACATACAGTTGGTATAGAAAAGGGTTAAATTTTAACTCAGCATAGAAAGAGGCATAAAGCATGGATTTTATGGAACACTTTGCATGTATATTCAACAGATCAAAGCCTTCAGGGATATGTCAGATTCTGAGTTCAAACACACCTTTGTAAAAAGGTGTAACTGATACTTAATGCATCAATTAAATCGACTAAGTTTGATACTTGCACGTCTGTATGAACAAAGATTCCTGATGCGATCTTACGGCCCCAAGATCTTGCTGAAGTTGGTTGATGAGAAAGAGCTAGTTTGAGTCAGAATCACTTGATGAATGAAAAGGACTAGGCCGGAGCCTGGCACGAGCTTTGGTATCCTGGAGCGTTTCTCACATCTTCATCTTAGCATCTCACTGAACCACCGAACAGGGGCGGGTCACATGGAGTGTGGCCTTTTAAAGCCTGCAGAGATTCACGCCTCTCAAGATGGGTTCGTCCAATGAGGAAGGCTGAAATCCCAAGCGGGAGGTTGGACATACTGAGGATTTTTATGAGTCTTTGTCTGTAAGCATGGTATTTTGCATATGTAATTCACTTGGGTGTTGATGCAGAAATTAGTAATGATTCTTAGAACATCCATATGTTGCAGAGGTATCAGCATGTAATATGCACTCTCAGTTAGATCATCCGCAGACGAATTCATAGATACTAGACATGGTAGAGTTACTTATATGAATGAGTGGTTTATCGTAAGCATGAATAAAAATAGTCTATAATACAACAGATTAAATACAACACAGCAATAATATACACAATGGCCTGAAGAAAATGGGTGTTCATTCAAAGAAGGTTTTCCTATGAATTAATTAGTAGAAAAGTCAGTTTCTCCTGTGCATTTGTGCCTTTCTTATGAGGAAAATGAGGGAGTTTATCCCCTGCATTCCTTTTAGGCCATAAAACCAGTGATATCAGCATTGGTTACCATGGAACCAGAGGCCTGTTCTGCTTTTCTGAGGTGTTAGGTGCATTTCGGGGGAAGGGTCCATAGACCCTCGTAATTGGCCATTTGGTTAGGTGATGGGGAGTTAGATATTATTTGTTAAATATAACAAAAAGTTGTGTGTCTGATTGGTCCAAATGCTACATAATCGTTAATTGAAATAAAGCTGAAATAAATATAAACATTAGAAATTAAATTTACTTAAAAATCTTTGAAAAGCTGCCTTGGCTAACTGAAATAAATTGAAGTTGAAATACTACAATGACTAAAATTAAAAATTAAAAATAAATAAAAATTACAAAAGCACATAGCAAAATTACTAAAACGAAAATTGCAAACATAAAAATATATTAAAAAAATAAAATAATAAAAAACAAAAGTACTTAACAAAATCACTAAAACTTAAAAAGAAAACTGAAATCATAAAAAAGTTAAAACTAAAAAAGCAAAAATACATAAAATTACTAAAACTGAAAATAAAAATATTTTAAAAAAACTAAATAAAAAACCAAAACATAAACTTACTAAAACGAAAACATAAGAAAAACAAAAACAAAATAAAAATGACAAAACAACAACATTAAAAAAATGTAATTCAAATTAAAATAAAAACTGAAAATGAAAATATAAAAAAACATTTTTTTTTTAAAAACCAAAGCACATAAACCTACTAAAACTACAATTGAAAACATTAAAAAAAACACAATTAAAATTTTTACAAATTATAATGAAACCAGAAAACCTAAAAATAAAGGCTAATTCAACACATTAATAAATATTATTCTATAAACAGCAGTAAAACAACACTGGTTCCTCAGCTGTTGAACACAGGCTTGTGTACTGAGCCGCTGCTGACGCGGTGTCAAACATTAAGAACAATACGAGCGTCATTCAACACCGCGACGCTCTGAAACCAGAGAAGAGACGTCAACATACATGACTGAACACACATGCGTGATATATTCATCATCCCGGCCGAGAACTCTGAACAATCAGTATCAACTCAACTCATCTGATTCAGCACTGAAACTTCCTTAAACAGCGTGTGACCTTTGACCGGGCGGTTAGGGTTCATCTGCGGGTCAGACTCTGATAAATAACACGCTCGCAGCTCATCTGCAGCCAAACGTCCTGTTCGAGTCCGTAATCCATGTACTTTCCTAATCAATACACCTGCTCGTAATGTGAACGCTTCAGGTGCTGCTGGATTCATAATCTTGCATCAAAATGTAATCATTTGCTTCACAGCTAATATTACTCACCAATAATAAATAAAAATAACCATTCACAATCAAATCAAACCCTAACAATATAGATTAAATACAATCGTTTTAAATGAAAAAAAGGATATTTTCATTGCTATTTGTTTCATTGCTAAACGGACTAATTTATTTGACAATTTTCACGGTGAAAACTAGGGATGCATGATTTGAAGAAAAAATTTAAAAAATGAAGAAAACAATTTTTCCCCACCCAAAAAAAAAAATTAAAAAATAAATAAACCTGCTCGTAATGTGAACGCTTCAGGTGCTGCTGGATTCATAATCTTGCATCAAAATGTCATCATTTGCTTCACAGCTAATATTACTCACCAATAATAAATAAAAATAACCATTCACAATCAAATCAAACCCTAACAATATAGATTAAATACAATCTATATTGATTTAAATTAAAAAAGGATATTTTCATTGCTAAACGGACTAATTTATTTGACTATTTTCACGGTGAAAACTAGGGATGCATGATTTGAAGATTTAAAAAAATAAAATAAAATAAAAAAGAATGATGAAAACAATTTTTCCCCACCCAAAA